TAGATTGTTCTTTAATTCTCTCTTTGATTCTTCTTTTGGTTCGAGAAAGGAAAGTTGTTTCGTTGAGAAGATTAAGTTTCGTTATAATACTGTTGGATATAAAATAAGTTATCTCTTTTACGAATAAAAATTGCATGGCGTTATTATTATTATTATGTTTCGTAGTTTTTTTATATATTGATTTTCTTTATTTGGTATGATGATTAAGTTTTGACATCTTTTTTATAACTATTATATACACATTGTGCACATATTACCGACTATGTTGATCTTAAAAAGCAAGGAAAATTTTTCTTTTTTAATTCTTTTTAATTATTTTCCTTTGATCAGAATATTTATCGTAAAATGATCAAATAATTTCACTCAAACAACAATTATCGATCAAGTTTTATCTTAAAGATATGGTAAGATCACAAAAATTTACTGAAGTAATTCATCGATCAAACGAAGCAACGATTCGATCGAGTGGAATAATGAATACTGACAAAAAAAAAAAAAAAAAAAAAAAACAATTAGAAAGAGTCTAATATCATAATTAATAATTGAAGAAATAATAAATTTCAAGAAAGAATCTATTATTTATCAAAAATACAAGAAAAAACGTGGAAAAAGTTAATCCAAAGAAATTTATACAAAACAAAGTTGGAAAGAATCAAGAAACGACTGGGGATTAAGATAATCGCTAAAACCGAAGCAACAAGCAATCGAAAACTTTCTATGCACTTTCTCATGCACAATTTTATTTTCAAACTAAAATATATAATCCACGATAAAAGTACTATATAATAAGCATCATTAAACACCGAGGGAAGTAGCAAGAAAACAGAATGGATCCATTGAGTGGAAACGGAAACTGAAGAAGCGAAACCGAAACGAGTGAAAGGAGAAACACGATTCTCGATCGTCGACTCTATTGTTTTCTCTGACTACCACTATTATTATTCACGGGGAAAAACGAGATTGTAGGAAGATCGACTGAAAAACGATTCTAAACGAACACGAGTTAAAAGCGTCGTAGTTTTTCTTTTCTTTTCTTTCTTTTCTCTTCTTTTTTTTTTTTTTTTTTTTTTTTTTTTTTTTTGTATAAAATTTGGAAGTTTCAAAGTTTATCGTTCAAGTACGTTTAACGAATTATATAATTTGTGAAAAGTATATTAAATGAAGGATAATTGGCACGATTTTACAAGTGTGGAAAAGAATTAGAAATATTTTAAAAATTCGAAGCAATTTAACGATTTTACGTAGTCGCATTTTTATTTATTAATTTCAACGATTCAAAAAATGGAAAATAAACTTTCAATTCTTGAATATTTCCTTGTATATTTGATGTTTAATATTTTTTTTTTTTTGAATCTGATTTTATAGATTTTTTTTCCACGATACTTTAGTGACTAATTATATCGCGAAACGAACAAGCTATAAATTGTACGTCTTTTTCAAATAATTGTAAAATTCCTAAAATTTAATTATTTCTAAAATTCTTATTATCGCAAATAACGTCAGACAACGATCGAAATGATAAGAATCGAACGCAACACTTTTGCACAATACAAAAAAAAAAAGAAAAAAAAAGGGAGAGAGAAGAAAAGAAAACGCAAGGGGAAAGAATGACGGCAATTAAAACGAAAAATCGTTGCCGCGAGAAATTATTCGCAAAACGCACGCGAAACGAGAACCGTTTACCCCATACTCTCGATTTACGCTCGAACGCGGGAGAGATCGTCTTTCGTCGCACTTGCAATTTCTTTCCCCTCCACGCCGCGCGACGCAAAAAGAATCCGAAAAATCCGTCATCGGAGGGACGAGAGTTAACGACCCTCGACGAGGGAACAAAGAAGACACTCTCGGCCACTTTTCCTTTTCTACCGCCCCCTCCACCCGTCCCAGCCCCACCCCGCCCGGTCGAAAAAGGAGGCCTTACACAATTTATGCATCCGAAACAAACAGAAACGCGGCTATACTATAAATATCGCGGAACCGGGCAAAAAATATCCGCACGGTGGGACCGCGATCCACCTTCCCCCCTCGCCCTCAGGCGGAATCGAATCTCCCGCGGCGTGCACAACACATCCTCCCCTCCTACCTCCGTCCCCCAGATACAAATACCGGAAGTAAACCAGAAGAAGAAGAGGAGGAGGAGGGCTATCGCTGTATCGCGATAGCCGGGCCCCGACAAAGGGGGCGCATCGCAAAAAAGGGAGGGACGAAAAAGAGGGGAGACGAAGGCGAAGAGAGGGAAGAAGGAACACGGTGCTAGCGTGGCGGACAGATAATAAAGGAGAATCGCGAGAAGGCGACGAAAGAAAGAGACGGAGAAAGTAGGAAAGCAAGACGAGGAAAGTAACAGAGAGAGAGAGAGAGAGAGAGAGAGAGAGAGAGGAGGAAGGAAGAG